GATAGGGTATAAGTATAGGATTACCAGCGTCCCATGGCATTCGCATCCACCTCCACGTCGGTCGTCGCCTTCCTCCGGAGTCTGGATATGGACGGATATGGCAACGGCATCACCATCACCATCACCATCACCATCAGCCACCGAAGCAGCATCCCTGGGGGTCTCCAATGATTTGTTGTTGCTGGCCGACAAGTTTACAAATTCAATTTGTCAGCGATGCCTCAATGTTGTTGTCCCGGGATGGGGAGTGGTTGGAAACGCAATTTCATAGGCCTGGCAACGGTTAACCCAAAGAACAACGGAACTAAATTGGCGGAACACGTGGAGGTAGCAGACTTCAGGATACCCCGTAAGCGAATTTCGGAAACCAGCGTTTAATTATAACCAATATTTAGAAAAAATATTTGTTGTTCAGATGGCGAAATTTAAACAAAGAACACCAAACCAAACCTAAAGCCCTTCAGAATTTGTATAACATGTTAGTTAAACTTCAAATATCGGATTATTTTGGTTGGCAACCGGTTAAGAAACGGAACCTTTATTTTCACACAGAATTGTGTTTATTGTTGAATTCAGGAGAAAATATTGGTATACTTAGTTACTAATAAAGCGTTCTGTACTTTATATTTAATTTTTAATACAAAAATGGTATTTAATTTTGCTCCACTTACATGAACGTTTTTAAAAACTTGTTAGTAGTGCATTAATTCAAAGCATAATCTTTTCACGCTAAAATATAAAATAAACTAAAAAAACTTGATTGCTCGGTTATGTCATAAAGCCACCCCTAGTCGAGCACACCCTTAACACCCAAAAAGTGCGCCCTGTAAAAGCATATGTTCCCATTGCATACTTGAGGGCGCATTTGATTAGAGCCCACCGAGGCGTGAGTATTTAATTTTGTTGTTCGGTCGTGGCGCGTTTTGACACGCGCTAGTCGAGAGCACGTAATTAAATTAATTAGAGAGTCGTTCCCACAGGTAAACCCCCACCTCCTCCTCCTCCTCCTCCGATTCGCTCCGGTCCAATCCAATCCATTCTGTCGGAGTTTTGATGCTCATTCGCAGTGACAGGCGACACACTTCGCTCGGTGGGTGGCCCAGTCGCCAGCAGGTTGGCCTGGGTGGTGGTATGCCTGGATGGTGGATGTGGCTGTGGGTGGGTGGCTGGTTGCCTGGTTGCCTAGAGAACACACACATAGTAGCTGCTCGGCTTTGGGCTTTCGGCTTTACCTTTTAATGAAATTCCTGACCAATGTTTGTTTTGCCTAGGTCACCATGGCGATTCCGCCCCACCGCCGCTGAATATATATGCACCATACATATCACTCGCCGATCGGCACGTGCCTGGAACTCAAACACAGGTTCCGCATAATTTTTCCCAAGAATGAAAGCATAAACGAAGCGTTTCTCGCCGACCCCGGGTGGCCATCATAATCGGCTCAATCATAATGAACTGGAAGCGTCATTATGGTGCAAGTGCAATTTCTGACTCGGTTTATTTTTGTTTTGTTTGTTCTTTATTTTATCGGGGGGACCAAGACCAAAACCAAAACCCAGCCAAACGCCCACATGGATCACTGTCCAAGTCTTTGTTTCCCGACTTTTATTCGATCACATATGCATAAGTGCTCCCTCCGGCCTTGTTGATGCTCAAAATCCAAGTTTATGTCCATATTTTTTATGGAACCCGCACGGTAGTTGCCTATGCGCACTTTAATGAGCTTCGGACAATAAAATTGCGGCGTCAAAAGAATATATATTTGGTTAATGCGCCTGCAGCTCGGCTAAATAGAAAACACAATTTTTGTGTGATTTACGATCGAATCAACTCGATTGATATGGGATCCCTGGAACAGCTGATCGTCTGGGGTTACCCTATAAATATTTGTACAAGTGGGAAATGTGTTTTCCATAGGAAATGCAATACCTTGAAAGTTGTTGTTGATTTTCCCATTTATTTTGCAAGTTTCTGGGGAAGTAAATAAGTGGAAACCGGACCAAGGAAAGTTCAGTTTGGTTTTGTCTATGAAGCACTTTGTGTGATACCAAACCGTTTCATTCAAGATTTTCAAAAATCGCTCCCCTTCGAGGCCCAGCAACAAAGCGAAAAAACCCCAAGCCAGAAATCTGCATAATAAACTCTTCTAGACATTGTTTCGTGCCAACATGCAGTACAAATATTGTTGCACTTTCCAGCTCCTCGCCCTGTGCTACTCGTCGTATTGTTCTCTATTTTACGAATGCGGTCAGATCTCCATGGCTCAGCAACATTTTTGCTGAGGGGAAGAATGCCTCAGGCTATTGGCATGTGCTGACAAATGTGAAACTTCCCTAATCAGCATGGTATATGGTTGAGAAAAACTGACCCAATTCGTGGGCTTGCCAATCGGGTGACGCATTCCTCGACGACTTTTGAACCGGAGAACTGGAGCTTTAAAAGAGGGAAGGAGGAGAAGTCTATCCAACTATCCAACGGAATGACAACAAACAAGCAATTCAATGTCCCGGAGTCCGTGGCCAAAACCAAATCCTTATCTAGATGTCCAGCCAGATCAAGTTGTAAGAATGCGAACATGGCAACAAATGTGCTCGACTCAGGTGTTAAAAATTTTGCATTAAAATGGCGCCCAGGCAACAGGCCGTGATCCCGACTAGCCCCCACTTCCTTCGGGCTGTGTAAAATTAATACAACACTCGGGGAGGTCCGTTCCGATCAAAACTGAACGTAAATCTTAAACACTTTCGGCCTGCCTTCCCATTCTCCGATTCTCCATTGTGCAGGAGGCTTTTGCAGTCGCACGATCAGCACGTTCGGTTCCGCAGGGTTTGGGGGAGGGGATCTGGATCTGAATCTGAATCTGGATCTGCAGGGAGACCAGGATGGTGGATGGTGGACGATCGGCAACCGGTCCACGACAAATGTGCCAGTCTCAGCAACAAGCCAGTCCGCAGAAAAATGCAGCGAATTGTGCGCAGATTTGTTTACAGAAGAGCCTCCGAGTGACCAGGGATTGGGTGGGGGATCTGGGGATCTGTGGATCGAGGGGCACGTTGATCATCGTAGATATAATTGACGACATGTTGTCTCACGATCGTGCTAAAGCGATTAAAGCTAATTTAATGCCCAACTCAGCGAATCATTTCCTTAAAAATACCCCAGAGGTCGTTGGGTCCTCCACCCTCAGCTTTAGGGTATTGCTCAACTTTCAGTTTGAAAAGCCTTGCCGAAATGCCAAAATCAAATTACTAGCTTCACTCTTGTTTTTACTTGCTCCTTGGCTTGCTGTGGGCTCGAATAAGTTTATTGGCAGAATTCCATTGCATATGAGTCGCATATTTACTTAACTGCACTTGCTTCTGATTACTTGTAATTCCATCTGGGCTTTTACGTCAGTCTTTGTTTAGGCTTTGTGCAAAAAATTAAGCGTAAAATCAATATAAATTGTTTACTGCAAGAATCAATTGTTTGGACTCGGTGGAGACAGCTTTCCTCCATAAATAAATATCAAATCTTTTCTTGTTTTAAAGCTTTCATTTATTTGCAGTAAATAAATTTTAAGTCATGGTCTTAGAACTTTGTTTTAGTTTTCATTTATTTTCACTGGCTTTGGTTATTAAATTTCATGCATTGCCTATGATTTAATAAATGATTCGAAATACTAGTGGCGAATACAGTAATTGATTGTGGGTGGTTTTCAGAAAACAAGTTGACACCCTTTGACCCACAAAAAGAAAAGTATGAATAGACAATAAAGTGTAAGATTATACTTTTAATAACGTATATTGCATCTAAATCAACATGTTTAGGATAAACGAAAAGACGTTTTATTTAATCTTAAACTTGAATTTTTGATTCATATTCCAAAGTTAATTCCAGGAAAACTAATGCAAAGCTAGGACTTACCTTTTAATAATGTTAATAAAGCGAATATTTTCAGGAATTGAAACCCTTCATATTTCAGAGTCAACGGAGATCTAGTAGACTTAACCTTGTATCTAATTTTCTAAAGCGATTGAAAGATAGGTAATGGAAAATTGACAGTTATTGGTTAAAAACATTTTTTTGGTGGATGGAGCCGGACAGCATCTTCAATCCGTTCCATTCTGGTTATGCACTTCTCATCCTTAATTCAAGCTCATTAGTGGCTCTCCACCATCGTGCTCATGGCACCCAATTACCATCGAAAGTGATTCATGTCTGCACACAGAGGGCCCTGTGATTTTGATTAGATGCCAATTTGTTTATGGCACTCGCTGGTCCGTCCAGAGATCAGATATCCCATATCCCATAGCGTATCGGTTAGACTATGCCCAGCACACTTCGGCTCGTCTTACATAAGCGTTTCGATTTTTGGAGCTCCTTCTCTAATAAGTTACGGATCCACATTGAACACGAAAAGCCGCCGAACCCAATAAGTTTTAGGCGTCTTGAATTACCCGAAATTTTCGTTTTGGTTTTTACGATTGCCATAAAATCGCTGGCGGTTTCTATAGAACAGTCTGCGGAGGAACTTCATCTGATTAGTTTATTAATTTGTGTAATGTGCTCGAATGGTGGCCGAGTTGGTTGGATTAATTTATTCATTTATGCACATGGGAAACTCACTTTTCAAATGGCGTTTGCCCAGCGGCAAAATCTCATTCACAATGGGCATTGTTCGCCCGCATCCAAGAGATACTTAAAAAAAACTTTTGGCTATGTAGCGCTGGGGAAAAGTGGTTTCCGACCCACCCCTGGGCCATACTACATGTATTATGGGCCCTCTGATTTGGGGAATGGGAATGGGCGGAGTCTAGGAGCGGTTTGCGGCCCAAGGTGGGAGCGAGAGGGCTGCTCCGAGTGCGCACTGCTCTCACGAACTCGTTTTGAGCACCGAGGCATACGAATCCAAGGCAGGGATTTTCACTCAATCCGCTGCTCTGCCGTCGCTCTGCCGACGTCTCTGCCTTGAGCCACCACAGTCGGGTGGTTCGGTGGTTCAGTCGATTCGAGCCACTCAAAGCGAGCGCAACGGGAACGGTCGATCCGCCCGAAGCAGCAGTTCAGCGAAATATTAGATACTCCTCGTTAGTTCTGAATCGTCAACCGAATTGCCAGATTCGATTTCAAAACATCATTGAAAAATACCTTAAAACATAGGCTACCTGAATATCGGTACTCCTGCCGCGTGTGTGTTCCTAGTGAAAGTTTTCCTCGCCACCCCGCAGAATGGTCACCCTAATGCCCTACAACTACGCTGCCCCGCGATGCGGTTTAATTGACAAAATGATCGAGCCAAAGGTAATCAAATAGTCGTAGTGCTCACGGAAGGCATTTTCGCTCCTCGCGAAGCTTTAAAAGTGATGTGGTTGAAAGTGCCGTCGGTTATTGTTATTGCTAGTGTTATGATTATGGTTATAGATGTCGGCGGTAGCTTCCTTGGTGGTTACTTTGTGGGGCTTCCCCCAGTTGAGAGATGGGAGATGAGAGCTGAGAGTATAGTCCAAAAAGTGAAACTCAACTGCATGATAACTTGTCTTTATTTATTGGGCCGGGACGCTAGACTCTAATATATGTACGAGCAACAGTTTAGGATGGTTTAAGGTGATCTATTAGGCGGCGTGATATCATAGCACACTTCGCATATAAATCTGGTCCAGCTTGACAACTTAGTCGTGTTAAGATGTCGTTTGTTTTCATAAATTTAAAAAAGTAAACCTATTTAACATCTGTTTCGGATATCTAAAAAGTTGGTTGACTTAAGTACTCTTCGTCGGAATATAATTATGGAATTTCCCTCATTCACAGAGGATTACTATTTTTATAGACCCACCCTGGGAACAAAAGCGATTTAAAGACCCCAAAGATTGTTCATTGTTAAAAAATCGTTAATGGGGATAAAGATTATGGGCACCTGACCACAATTTTATTACATCGCATTAATCGGCTTAACTTTGGTTGAGGTGGGTAATGAAGCAAACAAGTCAGGTCCTAAAAAACACCCAATAGATGTAAATTGTTGCCAACTTTTGATGACTTGGGAGCTGCATTCCTCTCGATGCGGATGCGGATACGGATGGTATGCACTTCTCCAGCCAATTAATGACACCTTTCATTCACTGGAATTTCGATGCAAAGTATGGCCCAGATCGGCCAAAGTTCGTCTCCAGATTCCCGATTTAATGGAACAGCATACCGAAGTTAAGGCCCAACGACAGGGCTTTTTTATGGGTCCCCCAACTAAGGCCAAGACAAAGTGCGATCGAAAGAAACAGAAACGTGACGAACGTCGAGCGGAGAGTGGCTGGATGGTTAAGGCGAAATATTAATAGAGCATAAATTACAGCTCTAGCAGGTCTGGGTGCCGGCTTTATGGGAATTTAAAGAGCCTGGCCCACAAAAGCCAGAGCCTGGCTTCAGCCCATCGGCCAGCGGCATTAATCACATTTTAATTAAGTTTAAGCCGTAATCGTAAAAATTAACACGCCATAATTCAACTGCGACAATACGCGCTGCATGTAATTTATGACAAAGAGAACTCACATATACTTGGACATGGGATATGTGGAGTGAAGCGGGGAGCAGTGGGCGAGGAGTCGAAATATTGATTATGGCCACTGCGATTGACACTTGGCGATTGTTGATTATACTACCGCGATTGTGGCCCAAACGTAATTAACGTGCCAAAGTGTTAAGGTGCATGGGATAGGTCCAGTCCCAATCCCCCAACCCAGTACCAAACCCAAACGAAGAGAAACAAATTTTCCTCTTGTTTATTTTGATGTTTATCGCGGGGTTCGGGGGGTGCGAGGGGTTCTAGGGGGTCTTCGGGGTCTTAGGGCCGGGTTAATAAAAAATTTGTCGCCGTCTTCTTGTCTTGTCTTTTGTTTGCCTGCTTTTTGTGGCCGTGAGTGTGTGTGTGTGCGAGTTTGAGTGTGTTTTAATCTTCTTCTAAAGCAGCAGAAGAGACAAAGAGATTACGATCGCAGGAATTTCGTTAAAGATGCCCACAAACAGGTCTTTATACCTCCAGCCCCCATCCACCATCCTCCCTCCTTCCCGACTGTTCGTCTGTGTTAATGTTTACGTTGTCAGCTTGTGCCATAAATTAGTTTAGTAAAAGGTTGCATTTGGATTGGATCTTTTCTCCCCCTTTTTCGGCCCCTCACTATCTCATTTTTGCATACAACTGAGACCCGACTGCGAATTCGGTTGCTCGTGCAGCACGCAATCCTGAAAAACTCGCGACTCCATGAGCATCGCGTCGAAACGCTACCGTTCGTTCGTTCGGCAATCTGTCCGCTTGTCCGTTGCGCATGCGCGTGTTCCTTTGGCCCGTCGACAAATTTGGGCTTTCCGCCCCGCCCCGCCCCACCCCTTCTGTATCTCAATCTGCATCTGTATCCGTATCCTGCCCCCTTTGGGATCGGAACGGATGATGGACAGTGCGTGCGTGTGGTCATCTCGCCGGACGGCCAAAGCTGTCAACCGAAGCCGCTCAACTTTCTGTCCCTGCCCAGCTTTTTAGCTGTTTTTTTTCGGGGGGATGAGGTGCGCACAAATTCCAGCACCTGGGCTGTCCGCCTTCGATTTATCTGGCTTCCGTTCGATTTGCATAAATGTCTTGCCTCGGACTTCCTTAAGCTGGTTTTTTTTGGTATATGTCAAACTAATATTTCTATTTAGGGGTTGAAAAGCGAAGTTACTTAGGTATTTTTTGTGTATTACACAGAGAAAATTATACGACGTTTAGGTCCCGTTTTCTTGTAAATACGTTTTAAAAATAAAAATGTTTTTAAAATTCAAAGTAAAATAAAATTGGTATGCAGCGTTTTACTTTTAAAAATGTTTCACCCCTTATTTTGCACCTAAAACTTTCAAATATTTTCTCTGATCCATCTTAAAAAGTATATTAAAGCAACTTCAAATAATCCTCATGCTTATAACAATTTGTATAATTTAAATCTTCGATTTTTTAACAAGATTGTTTTTGATTCTAAATTTTTTAGTTATACCTGCTTGTAGCTTAATAAAATACAATTGAGTTGGTATATTCATACTTACTTCAATAATATATTTCTTATAATCTTCAACTTGAATTCGCCCATCGACTTTACCTTTGTTCGTGACATTTTTCCCATAAGCCCTTCCTTCTAGCCTTGTCACATCCTTATCGAAATCCGTCGCCACCTGCTGCTTGGTCGTATACCAGCGATCTCCCCCCACTTCCCCTTCCCATTAAATGGCGCCGAACATCCGAAACATTTCGGCCAACGGCAGTCCAGCAAAACTTTTTCCCACGCACAAGCTCGAGCTGCGAAATTCGCTTGGCGCAGCAGCAAATGGCGATTGCGAATTATGTAAAATTGGCTGTTTTCTTTCGCCACTCGCACTGGATAACTGAATAACCCAAATAGAGTTTCGGGCGGTGGAAATGAAAATGCCGAGCTCAGCAGGGCGATTCCAGACGCTGAGGTGTGAGTGAGGGGAGTTGTTTATAAACAAATTATTTCGAGGGACAGCGAAAATCCCCCCACAGTCTTTACATAATACATGCTAATCACACAAAATAAATATATTTATTTCAAATCGGCATAAATTAATTCAATGTGTTTTTCTTGGCATATTTTCAGGTTAAACGTCCCAAAACAGAGCACACGGATACACATGAACGCAACCGGTAGGTCTAAATTTAGTAATAACCTAATTAAATCAAATCAGCAAAATATCCTTCAGACAATTACATATTTGGAACTTTATTAATGGTAACAAAATCTTATTAAAAATATGATAGGCATTTTCATATGCAGTTTTAGTCACCTTCTTGAGCATGCTTCCATGGGTCTTTCAGAGATTTCCATCTGTAAGCGTAGACAATTTGTAACAAAAAGAACAGGACATTCCTCACACTTGACAAGAGGCGCACCATCTTCAATTGGTTTCAATTGAAAAGGGGCTAGGGTCGTTGGTGGATGGGAAGTACCATACATACGTACATATTTTGCATGTGGCCCGCACAACCTGCCACATGCCCCGGCAGAAATTCAAAGAATTCCGTCCACGCTTCAGCTGTGACACAGAAGAGATCCCAAAGACCAAAATCCGAAATCCGAAAAACAAAAAGAGAAAAGACGAACCGAACCGAACCGAAAAGTGTCAGAGCACTTAACACTTGCCAAGAGGCTGGAAAAGAGCGGAGAGATTCGAGGCGGTCCAGGCCCAACTACTTAAAAGGGGCTTAAAGGCGGCAACAGTTGCGGCTTAGTCTTAAAGGCCTCTGCTCTCCTCCCCTCTCCCTTCCCCTGTTTAATAATAATTTCCATTATAATTTGCGTAAATCTCCCATTGGCTACCACGTCATTTTGCGGAGAGCAGATCCCCAAAGGAAAAGTTTCGGTTGGCTTTCCCCTCTCGTCGGCGCACGCGTCGTTCTGCGCTGGGAAAATGGTTTTCCCCCTTTTTACCAGCTGCTCCCCCTTCTTCATTTTCCTCCTGTTGTGGCTGCCAGCAAGATAAATGTCCCCCTTCTTCAGCCAACAACAACAAAAAAATCTCAAGGTGTCAGATTCTTTTGGAAATTGGGCACTTAATTTACCTTCCTATTAAAATTATGAAAAATTGTTAAATATTTGTCGGGGAGTGCGGAAGATGGAGAAGATAAGGAGCAAGGAAACAAAAAATTAGGGGAGAGTAAGGGTGTTTGAAAACAAAATTTAAAAATAATTTTGCTCATTACAATATAATCTTAGGAACCAAATAAAATAGAGAAACTTTGCCTTATCTAAGAAATCTGAAGGCACTTTTAGAATGTTCTTTAAATGTTAAGTTTATTTGTATACTCAGCTGCCTGCTGATTATATAGCGGTTTATTTTGGGGAGCAAGAAAACTCCACTTAATTGCATTGAAAAGGATTGAATTACTTCCCCATTTGTCTCCCCTTTTTCCCTCGAAATAATCTATGTTCCCGAAAACATTTCATTGTTTTGATTTTCTAGTGGCGGTGATTTATTGGATTTTCCATTGGGGCTCAGTTTTATTTGATTTTTAGTGAGCCCTTTAAGATTTTCCAATTTGTCCACTTTATTTCGTACTACTTGAAAAGTAATAACCAAAAGAAACATCAAAACACAAATCGTAAAATATAAAAAAATATTTGTCGCCGCTCTCAGGGAGTTCAACATTTGCTGAACACATGGCCGGGGAAAAGGGGGTGGGGGAGGTCACCGAAGGAGGCTGCAACGGGACTTGTCCGGGACAGTCCGCACATGCCACTAAAATGCGAACCCAACGAGACCCTCAAGTGCCCCGAAACGATTTCAAAAGATTTCAAACGATTTCCTTCTCCCATCTCGGCGATTCTCAATCCCAGTAAACAATCCGAAAAAACAGCGACAGGAAGAGGGGAACGGCGAGATCGTAGAAAAATATTTATAACACTTGACAAGATTTGTAAGACCTCTTCGACTGGGAAGCACTTGACTCGGACTTCGGGACAAAGGGAACAAGGAACGACAACGTGCCGTTAATTTAATGGCTGTTTAAAGATTATTGGAAATTATTTTATGGGCTTCCCTAACGAGCCAAAGGTTCTGTGTTTCTGTTCTCTCCCACACAATGAGAATTCCCCATACACACATATTTTCTGGGCCTTACGCATTACTCCGAATTCTGAATCCATTTCGTTTTTCTTTTGTCTTTAAAAATAAAAACCCTGGATATAATTGAGATAAAAGAAATAAAGTTTTTTTAATAATTTAAGGATTCATATAGTTCTTTTTGTTTTATCGGATGCCATTAAAATATTTAAAATATAATAATTTATATTTATTATACCGTTTTATACGTTTTACATTAATTTCTTCAGTCTTTGGTTATTTATAAATGTAATTAAGATATATAAATTCAAAAATAAACACTTTGATCAGCCGCAAACTTAACAGGTTTTTAAATGCTTTGTAATATAAATTCAAGGAACGGGTTTTAATTCAAGCACTTTAATAACCGTCAAAGGATATATTGGATTCATGATAATTCGAATTTAATTATTTAAAATAATTTCTCTTGCAGTTCTTTTTCAAAGCTTCACCATACTTGAATTTTTTGGAAGAATTTGGAAATTGAAAAACGGTTTTAACTATTTGTAATAATATTTTTTTAAACTTAAAAAATGTTTTTTTCATAAATTGTTCCTCCAGTTAACTAATTTGAATTTCCCACACTTTACACTTACACCACCCCGTTAATTACCACCCTCACTCATGCCTCCCCTCATCTTATCTCCTTGCAGCCTCTGCAATCTGTCACAGCAGCAGCAACAGCAACCCCAGCAGCAACAGTCGCACCAGCAGCAGCAGCAGCAACAGCAACAGCAGCAATCCCATCCCAGCACCGTGTTGGCCAGCAATGGACCCAGTAGCGCCGGTGCCGGCATGGGTGTCGGTGTGGGCGGCGGGGGCGGTGGCGGTGGAGGGGGCGTGGTCGGGCAGTGCAGTCCGCTGGGACTGCCGCCGCAGAGCCAACCGCTGCAGCCGACAATCGGATCGCTGGCCTCGCTGAGCGGCCACTACTCGAACGGGAATGCCAATCCGAACGTGAACTCGAGCAGCTGCAGCCTGGCAGCAGCCTCCGGCTTCTCGCAATCCGCTGGCAGCAGCTTCTCCACATATCAACAGGCGGGCGGAGGAGTTTCCGGCGAAGATGGGGGAGGAGCAACTGTGATGTCGCACTGGACGCACGACGGCACTGGTGGCTCGAGTGCGGCGGTCAAGTCGGAGTCCCGCAGTCCCGTGGGCCAAGTGCATGCCTCGCTGGACAACGGTGCGGTGGCCAGTTCCAATCTGTACGGCTGCACATCCGCCGCCAATCCCCTGGACGGCGGAGCAGCCTCGGCGGTCAACTCCTCGGCGGTGGCAGCAGCTGCAGCGGCCGTGTACGACGGGAAGCACGACTACTACTACTACAACAGCATGCAGCAGTATACGCCGCCGCCGTTCTACTCTGGCTACGGAACTCCCTATGCCGCTGCAACGGCGGCACGACAGGCCAAGATGGAGCCCGGAGCAGCGGCTGCAGCGGCGGCGTACCTGACGCCCAGCTATGCCGGCGGTGGCAACAACAACTCGCAGCTGTACAGCAGTCCGTATGCCGGCTACAACAACTTCGGGCAGCAGGACTACGGCGGCTACTACAACGAGCAGTACGGGAACTACTACAGTCCGGCCAATTACTCGCCCTATGCGGTGAGCTCGCCCAGCTCGAGTGCCAGCCACGGGCACGGCTTCCATGTGGCGGCCTCCTCGAATCTCTCCGAGAGTCCCACGGACACCCACTCGACGACGCCGGTGCACCAGACCACCCACTCGCCGCACTCCCCGCTGCCGATCTCGCCGAGCGCCGGGTCAGGAATCGGACCACTCGGCAATGTGGCGGCTGCGGCGGCGGCGGCTGCTCTCAACTCCAGCGGAGGCAGCAGTGTGGGCACCTCGGGTTCGGGGGGCGTGGCGGCCAGCAAGACCACGCCCACGGGCAAGACGGGAAGGGCGCGTGGACGGCGCCATCAGCAGCCCAGCCCAACCAGAAGCACTGCCTCCGACACTGGGAACAGTGAGGCTGTGAAGCCACCAGAGCGGGTGTTCGTCTGGGACCTGGACGAGACCCTCATCATCTTCCACACCCTGCTGTCGGGCAGCTATGCCAACCGATACACCAAAGACCACAGCTCCCTGATGACCATCGCCTTCCGCATGGAGGAGATGGTCTTCAACATGGCCGACACGCACTTCTTCTTCAACGAGATCGAGGAGTGCGACCAGGTCCACATCGACGACGTCAGCTCGGACGACAATGGCCAGGACCTGAGCGCCTACAACTTCGCCACGGACGGCTTCCACACGAACACCCCGCCCGGCGCCCCGCCCAATCTCTGCCTGCCCACCGGCGTGAGGGGCGGGGTCGACTGGATGCGCAAGCTGGCCTTCCGCTACCGGAAGATCAAGGACATCTACAACAGCTACCGGGGAAAGTGAGTATTAGTTGAGATTATAGTATAGGAACTCTTAAAGGGAGTAGCAGAATTACAGATCTTCATTGCTTACATTGTATTAACATCACCATGGACGACTAGAATTTTCTAAATTTCGGTTTTGGGACCTATCTTATTTATAGTGACCAATAATAACGCAACCAATAATAAAACGCAAAGAAATATAAATACATCGTTCAAATATGGTTTAATGACAGTGATGAATAGAATTTCAGTACAATTGAACTATATTCTGTAAAAAATCAAATATCTTTAATCCTTTGTCTTGATCCGTAAGTGATTTTTTTAAGAGCATATTGCTAGGGACATAATCATTCGCTTTTCAGAAAACTCTAATAAGATAATAATTAATTCTAGATTTTTTAAAACAGTTTAGGTAAAATGTCGCTTAAAAACATACAAATTTTGTAAGATGCATCATTATTGTGAAGCAATATCCACGTAGACGAAGATCATGTAGAATATTTTAGATAAGAAGATAGTATAACAGAAAAGTTCTTTATACTCTTTTAAAGAAAATATAATATTTCCCAACTATACTGACCAATGATTTCCCATATTCCAGTGTTGGCACCCTGTTGGGACCCGGAAAACGCGAGGCCTGGCTGCAGATCCGCTCGGAAATCGAGGTGGCCACCGACAACTGGGCCACGCTGGCGCTCAAGTGCCTGAGCATGATCTCCCAGCGAGAGAACTGCGTCAATGTGCTGGTCACCTCCACGCAACTGGCCCCGGCGCTGGCCAAGGTCCTGCTCTTCGGACTGGGCGGAATCTTCAACATCGAGAACATTTACAGTGCGCACAAAATCGGTGAGTGAGCAGAGAAGATGGTTGATCGATATGGTGAATAACCAGTTTTTCCCCCCCATTTTTTCCCTCCATCCATCCAGGCCATGAAACCTGCTATGAGCGGATCGTGACTCGCTTCGGGCGCAAGAGCACCTACGTGGTGATTGGAGATGGGAACGAGGAGGAGACCGCCGCCAAGGCCATGAACTTCCCCTTCTGGCGCATCTCCGCCCACAGCGACATTCGCGCCCTCTACACTGCCCTCGACATGGGCTTCTTATGAAAGGCCAAACTGTAATGGATCAACTCCTATTTTGGACAGGCTCGAAGCAGTTTTGAGTACAAACAGCAAGGAAATGTTTAATTAATTTATTTAATATGTATGTGCGTGCGTGCGTGTGTGTGTGTGAGACAAGCAACAAATGGAACAACTGTAAACCAGCGCAAAATAATTTAATTATTTTGTTTAAACAACTTATACTTTAACGCCAAGACTTTTTGTATTATATAGTTTTAAAACACCTAATCAACGATCGTAACAATTCTCGCACGAAGTTGTTTCAAGTGTATAATTCATAATATTAACGATATACGTATTTAGCACCTTAGAGTAGCAAACAATAACAGACCGATGCGCATCCTGGCCGAAGGAAGAGCGGAGCAAACACAACAAAAATTAGTTTAAAGTTCTTAGTTTAAAGGCAGAAGCATAACTATAATGATTATAAATAATTCGACAAAGCCGTAGTATTCAAATTTTAAATAACTATTATATAGCTGCATATATTAAACTATATTTAAAATATAAAACCAAGTAATAAAAGAGCAAATCCAACAAAAACGCACCCTATTAAAGCATAAAATGGAGTATTTAATTAATTTGGTTGCCTACTTAAGAGGTAGCTTATGTTATGCAATTTAAAGTAAATAAGTTGAGCTAATCCAGGTTTACCGAAAAGAGTTGACACTTTTGTGGAGTGGTCATCTCGCTTCCGGTTCCGCAGTTAAAGTCGCGTCCAAATGCCTCGAAGTTGGACAGTGCTCCCAGCACCCGGTGGGCATTCGGAGTTTGCAGTTGAGACTTGAGTTGCTGGTTCCGGAACTCCAAGTTGGCATCATGGCACAACAACTGGCTGAAACTGAGAAAGAACAGCCGCCGGGAGGTGACGTTAAGTTGTGGCAGTGCCTCCGAGTTCCGGACAGATAAGGCCATCCCCCCCAGGAACCTTCTGTAGGCGTGGTAGGAAACCTGGATGCCCAGATTGTCGGCTATGTTCTCCGCCTGCTGATCGCTCTCCGGCCAATATTGTCCATTGAGCCGCAGCCTTCCGTATTGCTTCTTGAAGCACTCCTCTCGCCTGGCAATCTCAACCAATGATTTGTCATCCCACTTGGAGGCATCTTCCAGGCTGTGTGCCAATTGTTGGGCCAGTAAGGTGCCGAGGCTGCCATAAAGAACAGCTTTCGGATAGAATTGGGACCAAAAGAAGTTCGGCTGGAGTAGGGCAACCGGCAGCAAGACTCTTTTTCCCACAGGATCATAGGTTACAGATGTCGGTGCCTTCACTCTCTGATAGGTAAGTATGGTCCTCAGATTGTGTAGAAAATCCTTTGGCTTCAGCTGCAGTCCCTCATACCGCTGGGTGAAGTTAACATCGGCGTATCCATTAATCAGCAGACTGGTGTTATTCAGCTGATCCAGTATTTTTTCTCTTGTCTCTGGGATAAACCATTCGGCTGAAGAGTTTTGCAGCATGCCGCGAAAGCTCTGATTTATCTGCTGCCAGAGGTTTTCGATTTCACTAAGGGTAGCTGCATCTTCATAATGCTTGAAGGCCATGTTTTCGAGGAGCTCGGGAAATACCTCGCTGACCCGGCTGGCACACTGCTCAACAACGGATCCCGACCAATCGAAGTAGAAGTGCTTTAGGAGCTCATTGAAAATGTAGTTGGCCATGACATGAGGTGGTCTATCCAGATATTCATCTAATTCATCTAAGAGAATCCCGTAGTCTCCCGTGGTCTTAAAGGTATCAAAGTAATCCGTGTCAAGACCGGAAATAGTTTGCTCCAATTCTGTGATTTCCTTCGCCGTTGTCTTGGCCAACTTCGACTCTACGCCCAAGTGACGCTCCAGAAGATCAGCTGTGGTATCAGCCATTGCTTGTAATATGGTCTCCGGAAAAGTTTTCTTTGGCTGACCCACGAAGAAGTGGTTTTTAGGAAACAGGAAAGGGTTAAGGATTTCAATGCCGTACTTTCGCTTGATCCGGGCCACGGTCTCCTGCCAATCGAACTCCTCGGCTTGCCACTCCTGACCCGGAACACTCAAGACAGGCATACCTCCGAATTCCGCCACAATTTCCAGCAGCACGCGGCGGTAGAGATCCTCTGGTGTTTCTCGGAACATCAGGCAACTGGCATAGAACTCTTTGAGCCGAAGAACGGCCACCTCGTCCGCTTTCTCATCCGCCGGCTGCTCCATTAAACGCCTCTGTTTGTGGCGATATGCCTTGGCCCACAGCTGCTCCACATTGGTCTCCCGGGGAGGGACACCGAGGGCAGGATTGATCTGGGCCCAATTTCCGCAACTGTATTCATAGAAGTTATCGCAGGCGTCAAAGTTCGGCCGCATATAGCTGCGCATCTCGGCGGACTTGGCCAGTCGCAACAATTGCTGGACGTAGGAGCTGTTGTTGCTCTGGGAGATCAGATCACCGTGAACACACCTCACCATCAGTAACAGTAGCAGCACAGGCAACGCGGTATCACAGTTGTCCATGATGAGCACTTCGAAGGCGACTGAACTAGAAGCTCAACGAGACGCAGTTTGGTTCCGTCTCTCTGAGGCTGAGATTAAACTACGCCAAAATAAAACTGACCTTACCTGATAAGCTTAAGGTTAAATTCAAGTTGCTAAACATCTCTATTTAACCCAAATGGTTGTTTAAACTTACCGAAAAGTTATTGATATCAGTAGTAAGCTACGTGCTACGTTTTTTGACCAATGCCTACCAGTAAATTAAATTCAAATTTGAAATTAAAACATTGCGTTGGTGAAAAATGATTACTGATTAATATTTTCAACACAAAAAACGTCTGAAAGAATGTCAAAACCTAGTACCGGTTTGGAATTATAAACACACAAGTCGGAGGGAAAAATAAAGTTAAAATTTTTACAGTTTTTTGTACAGTTAGTTACAACAAAAAAATAGCACAACGCTATATAGACAGGGCTAGTGATGTATAGGAAAAGCCCGATATGATAAGAAAGAAGCTGTATTTTCAGTTTTTGGGGGGTTAACCCAGTTTCTGAGGGGTTTTGAGTATAGGTAATAGACAAATCTAATTTTAGACCATTTTACCTTTATTTTGATGCCTTCGTTTATATTCCTTACAAGTTTACCGCTATCTATAGTCAAAGTTAAAAGTATGCACTGCATAATTTAAGTTGAGAGCCACTGAATGTCTCTTTGGTCCCATTCCCGCAAAGTGCAAATGGTTTAAATTCACACATTAAATTAGCTGTAGAACAAATTTTTTAAATTGGACTATTTATTAAAAAGATATGAGCAAATAATAGAATTCAAGCAGTCGCTACATACATATCTCCATCTCTCTTGCACTCCCTTTATCTGAGTAACGGGTATCTAATTGTCGAGATTCTCGACTATAGCGTTCTCCTTTGCTTATAATGCACCATCACCAATCCTAGCTTAAAACATTTTACTTAAGAGGTAGCTAACACCCTCTAATGTTGTGTAATGCCAATTGCTAATTATAAGTATTTCAGGATTACCCCACATTACTCAGTCCACCATCTCAATAAACTTATTTAAGCGACAATCCTTATACCCTTTCAAAGGGTATTATGATTTCAGTCAGAAGTATGCAACGCAGTGAAGGAGACGTTTCCGACCCCATAAAGTATATATATTCTTCATCAGCATCACTAGACAAGTCGATCTAGCTTTGTCCGTTTGTCCGTCCGTCTGTCCGTCCGTCCGTCTGTCCGTCTGTCCGTCCGTCCGTCCGTCTGTCTGTCTGTCCGTCCGTCTGTCTGTCCGTCCGTCCGTCTGTCTGTCTGTCCGTCCGTCCGTCTGTCCGTCTGTCCGTCCGTTTCTATGCAAACTAGTCTCTCAGTTTTGAAGCTATCGTGACGAAACCTTTCCAAAATTCTTCTTTCTATTTCAGGTAGTATATAAATCGGAACCAACCGGATCGGACAACTATATCCTATAGGTCCCATAGGAATAATGGGAAAAATAATGGACAACAAAATATAGCTTCGGTGTTTTTTGATATTTTATCTTCTTCTCTTATGAATATTATTTTTTAAATATTCCTGAAGTTCGGATTAAATTATTAAAAAATCGGATGACTATATCATATAGCTGCCATAGAAAGGATCGCAAAATAAATGGGGATATAAAAGGAAATAAATAATAGCTTGGTTGTTTTTTTTTTGTAATCTCTTCTTCTCTAGGATGTGACTCCTTTATAATATTTCCGAGTTTCTATTTTTATTTTATCAAAATCGAACTATTATCGGAAAATTAATGAGAAATAATTACGATTTGTAAATTAATAGGAATGATCTGCAAGGGTATATAAGCTTCGGCTGGCCGAGGCTAGCTTTCTTTTTAGTTTTATTATATTTTGGTAATATTTTAGTCAAAGTAATCAAGTTGAGCTAATCCAGGTTTACCGAAAAGAGTTGACACTTTTGTGGAGTGGTCATCTCGCTTCCGGTTCCGCAGTTAAAGTCGCGTCCAAATGCCTCGAAGTTGGACAGTGCTCCCAGCACCCGGAGGGCATTCGGAGTTTGCAGTTGAGACTTGAGTTGCTGGTTCCGGAACTCCAAGTTGGCATCATGGCACAACAACTGGCTGAAACTGAGAAAGAACAGCCGCCGGGAGGTGACGTTAAGTTGTGGCAGTGCCTCCGAGTTCCGGACAGATAAGGCCATCCCCCCAGGAACCTTCTGTAGGCGTGGTAGGAAACCTGGATGCCCAGATTGTCGGCTATGTTCTCCGCCTGCTGATCGCTCTCCGGCCAATATTGTCCATTGAGCCGCAGCCTTCCGTATTGCTTCTTGAAGCACTCCTCTCGCCTGGCAATCTCAACCAATGATTTGTCATCCCACTTGGAGGCATCTTCCAGGCTGTGTGCCAATTGTTGGGCCAGTAAGGTGCCGAGGCTGCCATAAAGAACAGCTTTCGGATAGAATTGGGACCAAAAGAAGTTCGGCTGGAGTAGGGCAACCGGCAGCAAGACTCTTTTTCCCACAGGATCATAGGTTACAGATGTCGGTGCCTTCACTCTCTGATAGGTAAGTATGGTCCTCAGATTGTGTAGAAAATCCTTTGGCTTCAGCTGCAGTCCCTCATACCGCTGGGTGAAGTTAACATCGGCGTATCCATTAATCAGCAGACTGGTGTTATTCAGCTGATCCAGTATTTTTTCTCTTGTCTCTGGGATAAACCATTCGGCTGAAGAGTTTTGCAGCATGCCGCGAAAGCTCTGATTTATCTGCTGCCAGAGGTTTTCGATTTCACTAAGGGTAGCTGCATCTTCATAATGCTTGAAGGCCATGTTTTCGAGGAGCTCGGGAAATACCTCGCTGACCCGGCTGGCACACTGCTCAACAACGGATCCCGACCAATCGAAGTAGAAGTGCTTTAGGAGCTCATTGAAAATGTAGTTGGCCATGACATGAGGTGGTCTATCCAGATATTCATCTAATTCATCTAAGAGAATCCCGTACTCGGTGGTCTTAAAGGTATCAAAGTAATCCGTGTCAAGACCGGAAATAGTTTGCTCCAATTCTGTGATTTCCTTCGCCGTTGTCTTGGCCAACTTCGACTCTACGCCCAAGTGACGCTCCAGAAGATCAGCTGTGGTATCAGCCATTGCTTGTAATATGGTCTCCGGAAAAGTTTTCTTTGGCTGACCCACGAAGAAGTGGTTTTTAGGAAACAGGAAAGGGTTAAGGATTTCAATGCCGTACTTTCGCTTGATCCGGGCCACGGTCTCCTGCCAATCGAACTCCTCGGCTTGCCACTCCTGACCCGGAACACTCAAGACAGGCATACCTCCGAATTCCGCCACAATTTCCAGCAGCACGCGGCGGTAGAGATCCTCTGGTGTTTCTCGGAACATCAGGCAACTGGCATAGAACTCTTTGAGCCGAAGAACGGCCACCTCGTCCGCTTTCTCATCCGCCGGCTGCTCCATTAAACGCCTCTGTTTGTGGCGATATGCCTTGGCCCACAGCTGCTCCACATTGGTCTCCCGGGGAGGGACACCGAGGGCAGGATTGATCTGGGCCCAATTTCCGCAACTGTATTCATAGAAGTTATCGCAGGCGTCAAAGTTCGGCCGCATATAGCTGCGCATCTCGGCGGACTTGGCCAGTCGCAACAATTGCTGGACGTAGGAGCTGTTGTTGCTCTGGGAGATCAGATCACCGTGAACACACCTCACCATCAGTAACAGTAGCAGCACAGGCAACGCGGTATCACAGTTGTCCATGATGAGCACTTCGAAGGCGACTGAACTAGAAGCTCAACGAGACGCAGTTTGGTTCCGTCTCTCTGAGGCTGAGATTAAACTACGCCAAAATAAAACTGACCTTACCTGATAAGCTTAAGGTTAAATTCAAGTTGCTAAACATCTCTATTTAACCCAAATGGTTGTTTAAACTTACCGAAAAGTTATTGATATCAGTAGTAAGCTACGTGCTACGTTTTTTGACCAATGCCTACCAGTAAATTAAATTCAAATTTGAAATTAAAACATTGCGTTGGTGAAAAATGATTACTGATTAATATTTTCAACACAAAAAACGTCTGAAAGAATGTCAAAACCTAGTACCGGTTTGGAATTATAAACACACAAGTCGGAGGGAAAAATAAAGTTAAAATTTTTACAGTTTTTTGTACAGTTAGTTACAACAAAAAAATAGCACAACGCTATATAGACAGGGCTAGTGATGTATAGGAAAAGCCCGATATGATAAGAAAGAAGCTGTATTTTCAGTTTTTGGGGGGTTAACCCAGTTTCTGAGGGGTTTTGAGTATAGGTAATAGACAAATCTAATTTTAGACCATTTTACCTTTATTTTGATGCCTTCGTTTATATTCCTTACAAGTTTACCGCTATCTATAGTCAAAGTTAAAAGTATGCACTGCATAATTTAAGTTGAGAGCCACTGAATGTCTCTTTGGTCCCATTCCCGCAAAGTGCAAATGGTTTAAATTCACACATTAAATTAGCTGTAGAACAAATTTTTTAAATTGGACTATTTATTAAAAAGATATGAGCAAATAATAGAATTCAAGCAGTCGCTACATACATATCTCCATCTCTCTTGCACTCCCTTTATCTGAGTAACGGGTATCTAATTGTCGAGATTCTCGACTATAGCGTTCTCCTTTGCTTATAATGCACCATCACCAATCCTAGCTTAAAACATTTTACTTAAGAGGTAGCTAACACCCTCTAATGTTGTGTAATGCCAATTGCTAATTATAAGTATTTCAGGATTACCCCACATTACTCAGTCCACCATCTCAATAAACTTATTTAAGCGACAATCCTTATACCCTTTCAAAGGGTATTATGATTTCAGTCAGAAGTATGCAACGCAGTGAAGGAGACGTTTCCGACCCCATAAAGTATATATATTCTTCATCAGCATCACTAGACAAGTCGATCTAGCTTTGTCCGTTTGTCCGTCCGTCTGTCCGTCCGTCCGTCTGTCCGTCTGTCCGTCCGTCCGTCCGTCTGTCTGTCTGTCTGTCCGTCCGTCTGTCTGTCCGTCCGTCCGTCTGTCTGTCTGTCCGTCCGTCCGTCTGTCCGTCTGTCCGTCTGTCCGTCCGTTTCTATGCAAACTAGTCTCTCAGTTTTGAAGCTATCGTGACGAAACCTTTCCAAAATTCTTCTTTCTATTTCAGGTAGTATATAAATCGGAACCAACCGGATCGGACAACTATATCCTATAGGTCCCATAGGAATAATGGGAAAAATAATGGACAACAAAATATAGCTTCGGTGTTTTTTGATATTTTATCTTCTTCTCTTATGAATATTATTTTTTAAATATTCCTGAAGTTCGGATTAAATTATTAAAAAATCGGATGACTATATCATATAGCTGCCATAGAAAGGATCGCAAAATAAATGGGGATATAAAAGGAAATAAATAATAGCTTGGTTGTTTTTTTTTTTGTAATCTCTTCTTCTCTAGGATGTGACTCCTTTATAATATTTCCGAGTTTCTATTTTTATTTTATCAAAATCGAACTATTATCGGAAAATTAATGAGAAATAATTACGATTTGTAAATTAATAGGAATGATCTGCAAGGGTATATAAGCTTCGGCTGGCCGAGGCTAGCTTTCTTTTTTAGTTTTATTATATTTTGGTAATATTTTAGTCAAAGTAATCAAGTTGAGCTAATCCAGGTTTACCGAAAAGAGTTGACACTTTTGTGGAGTGGTCATCTCGCTTCCGGTTCCGCAGTTAAAGTCGCGTCCAAATGCCTCGAAGTTGGACAGTGCTCCCAGCACCCGGAGGGCATTCGGAGTTTGCAGTTGAGACTTGAGTTGCTGGTTCCGGAACTCCAAGTTGGCATCATGGCACAACAACTGGCTGAAACTGAGAAAGAACAGCCGCCGGGAGGTGACGTTAAGTTGTGGCAGTGCCTCCGAGTTCCGGACAGATAAGGCCATCCCCCCAGGAACCTTCTGTAGGCGTGGTAGGAAACCTGGATGCCCAGATTGTCGGCTATGTTCTCCGCCTGCTGATCGCTCTCCGGCCAATATTGTCCATTGAGCCGCAGCCTTCCGTATTGCTTCTTGAAGCACTCCTCTCGCCTGGCAATCTCAACCAATGATTTGTCATCCCACTTGGAGGCATCTTCCAGGCTGTGTGCCAATTGTTGGGCCAGTAAGGTGCCGAGGCTGCCATAAAGAACAGCTTTCGGATAGAATTGGGACCAAAAGAAGTTCGGCTGGAGTAGGGCAACCGGCAGCAAGACTCTTTTTCCCACAGGATCATAGGTTACAGATGTCGGTGCCTTCACTCTCTGATAGGTAAGTATGGTCCTCAGATTGTGTAGAAAATCCTTTGGCTTCAGCTGCAGTCCCTCATACCGCTGGGTGAAGTTAACATCGGCGTATCCATTAATCAGCAGACTGGTGTTATTCAGCTGATCCAGTATTTTTTCTCTTGTCTCTGGGATAAACCATTCGGCTGAAGAGTTTTGCAGCATGCCGCGAAAGCTCTGATTTATCTGCTGCCAGAGGTTTTCGATTTCACTAAGGGTAGCTGCATCTTCATAATGCTTGAAGGCCATGTTTTCGAGGAGCTCGGGAAATACCTCGCTGACCCGGCTGGCACACTGCTCCTCAGGGGATCCCGACCGCTCGTAGTAGAAGTGTTTTAAGAGTTCATTGAATATGTAGTTGGCCATGACATGCGGAGGGGTTTTTGATGCCAGGTAGTCGAAGTCATCTAGATATTCCTCTACCTCCGCTAAGAGAATCTCGTAAGCTTCCGATTTCCGATAGTGAACAGAAGCCCCAAACTGGGTGGGGTTGTAGGTATCAAAGTAATTCGTGTCAAGAATGGTTATCTCGTTCTCCAAATCTGTGATTTCCTTCGCCGCTGTCTTGGCCAACTTCGATTCCACGCCCAAATGACGCTTCAGAAGATCGGCTGTAGCATCCGCCACTGCCTGTATCATGGCCTCCGGAACAATTTGCTTTGGCTTACCCACGTAGATGTGCTTTCCAGAAAGATGGAAAAGCGTAAGGATGTCAATGCCATACTTTCGCTTGATCCGGGCCACGGTTTCCTGCCAATCGAACTCCTCGGCTTGCCACTCCTGACCCGGAAGGCTCAAGACAGGCATGCCTCCGAATTCCGTTGCTATTTCCTTCAGCCCGCGGCGGTAGAGATCCTCTGGTGTTTCTCGGAACAGCAAGCAACTGGTATAGAATTCTTTAAGTCGAAGCACGGTCACCTCATCCGCTTTCTCATCCGCCGGCTGCTCTATTAAACGCCTCTGATTGTGGCGATATGTCTTGGCCCACAGCTGCTCCACATTGGTCTCCCGGGGAGGGACACCGAGGGCAGGATTGATCTGGGCCCAATTTCCGCAACTGTATTCGTAGAAGTTATCGCAGGCCTCGACGTTCGGCTGCATATAGCTGCGCATCTCGGCGGATTTGGCCAGTCGCAACAATTGCTTGACGTAGGAGCTGTTGTTGCTCTGGGAGATCAGATCACCGTGACCACTCCTCACCATCAGTAACAGTAGCAGCACAGGCAACGCGATATCACAGTTCTTCATGACGAACACTTCGAAGGCGACTGAACGAGCAGCTCAACGAGACGCACTTTTGCTTCTTCTCTCTGTGACTGAGATTAAACTACACAAAAATAAAACTGACCTTACCTGATAAGCTTGAGGTTTAATACCTAAACATCTCTATTTCGTGGTTTAAATTTCCAGCCCAAATAATGGTTTGAACTTACCGAAAAGTAACTGTAATCAGCAGTAAGCTACGTACGGTAAGCTACCAATTGGCCTCAGACGCGACAGGTCGATAGTTCGGAACGGGTAATCTATGATGAGCTCGTATATTTTTCTGCCCAAGGCCAGGGATTGCTGGACTCCGTGCCCGCTAAAACCGGTGGCCAGATACAGATTGTGGTAGTACGCATGTGGTGCCAAGATTCGTGGAAATAGTCTATAATTAAACATTTGTTAAAACCAACACTAGATGGCGCACTACCCCGAAGCCAATACATTACCTACATGTATTTTACATGGCGCTCTTTTCCCAAAAGTATGCTATTTTAACGGAACGTGGCCAAGTAAAGTTTGTTCCTAGTATTTTCTGGCCACACTTTGGCAAGGCGGTTTGAAATTTTCAGCGACTTCATGCAGGTTTTAAATCTATTTTTAAATCATGATCAACATTTAAAAAAATATTCAAATACGAACTTCAAGTCATATCCCCATGTTAATTTACTCTGTATCTACAAATATAAAACTCTTCTTATGGCAGCCTTACATTCACTTTACAAAAAAGAAAATCCAAAGTCCGCGTATTACTTTTATAATTCATTGTTTATTCAGTTGGTATCTTGCTTAATAAGTGTAGTTATGCAAATATTGCTGGATTTTTCAGTTTATTAAACAATCCAAACACTCTTTTAACATATTGTTGTTTGCCAATTTGATCGATTTACTGGGCTTCGTTTTGGAAAAAGAAAACGAATATAACTCAGTTATATAATAAGGACATAAAGTATAGTACAATTTAATTACAATTACAACTAAATAACCATACAAATAATTTATGCCTAAGGAAACTTATGAGTAGGAATTGAGTGCCCATTGCTCTTCTTAATACATTTTTATAGTTTTAATTTTCCTTAGAAAATTTGTGTCTAAATTGATTCTAGCGTGATTTAATTGTTCTCTTCCGATTTGATAATATTGCACGGTTTTTGGTTTGCCAAACATGGTTGTATAATTGCATCTCGATTAATTTCAAACGTTTTTTATTTCAATTTCTCTGTGATACGTTTTGGTTGTTTTAGATGCTAAATCACTGGATTTCATTGTTAAGCTGAATTACAAAAGTTGTTTGCCTAAATAATTTACATCAAAAAGCCAAGTAAACATTGCACTATACGCAGCCCTATTTAGACTAAGTTTTCAGTTATTGTTTGCTTAAGTTCTAGGCCTAAATGTAAATCTGATATTCGACTGGTTTTCGTACCGCTTTATTCTCTACACAAAATTCGCCAATTACTAAAATTATGCATTTCATATTGTATATTCAGTTTATATATATTAATAACTATTGCTCAGTTAAGTGTGTTTGCGTGTTTAGCAAAAATGTGCCCGCTATGAATGAGTTTTCACAATGCACCCACTTCCTCTAACCAATCCGCTCCACCTCTCGCTGCTTCCCTCCGTTCTTTCCTATTTCTTTTTGCTCGCTCAACACGACGATATCACAACAAAATGTACCAAGTAGAAGAATTAGTTATCATTATCAGTTATCGTTAACGATCGGCTAACACTAGAACCGCTTCACGTGAACGGTGGCGGCATCACCATTGGATCGAAGGTTTGCTGGGTGGTGGAGAAGTTGCTGAAGTTATCAATGCGGCGATATCCCCACAAATCCATGGCATCGACGCAGACATCCTGGATTTGCTTGATCTGAAATGGGTTAGGGCGACGACAGTTAATAAATATTACTATTTAACAGAAAACACGATGAAAGCCGTACCTCTTCTGGCTTTAGATCCTGCATCCAATGGAATGGTGCCGATCTGGAATCACGATATGTGGAGCTGACACCTCCAATGTTGACCTTGGTGTGCGTGTCCAAAAACTCCTCCACTGCTGGATCGAATGGCAAGCCATAAAACTGCAAAATGTCCTGGGTCATCTCACTGGGGCTTAGGGATAAGTCCTCGTAACGAACAGTTCTGGAAGGCAAATAGGTTGGTATTAGTTGATCTTCAGTGAAATTCTGCAAATTAGAGAAAACTCACCTAAATCGAGACGGATACTTTTGCAACAGCATCTCGGCTGTTTTGTAGTCATCCTGCAGATCCTGGCACACCAGTCGGGGATCCTCGCAGTCCTCGTTACCTCCGCACCACACTCGATGTCGCCGCGATTGCATCGTTCCTCGCGGATCCCGCACCAGTAGCACGATCCGCACGCTGGAGAGACTGCGGGTGAGGGGGAGAAACTTATTAGAATACCCATATAGATAATCATACGTATATGTGATGAGTGATATATAATTGCTGGCGTAATAGTTGTGCACCAAGCCGTGAAGTTCACTTTGCCATGACAATGGGAGGTGGGAGGCAGTAGCCAGTCTGGAATTGGCTTTCAATTAAATCGGATTAAAACTTCTATAATGAAGCGTAATTAGCATTTTCATGGAGCTCAGCACGAGTTGGTATCGAGCTGAACTCCAATGGCAATACCTCGACCAACTGAAAATTGTTTTTAATTACAACACTTAAATGTATCTCTGTTTCGACTCCACTCCCGCCCTCTCCGCTCGACAGCCAGTGCAATTGCTAATTTATTTCATGAAAATGTTTTGCCTAAGCGGAAACTACAAAAAGTTGATAAAATGGCAAGAACGGAAACAGCGAACGTGGGTTTTGGTGTTTTGCGATGGAAATGGGGTCGATCGGGAAAGTAAAGGGAAGCCGAAATCAATATACAGGGAAGCAGGGAGAAAGGAGTTTTCTTTTTTTAGGTAGTTATATCATTTAGTAAATATGGAATTTTTCAAATAAATTATATTTTTTGCTTATCTAACAAAGTGTAAAAGACATATATTTTATTTTTTATTTTTTTTATTTACTCGTAGAGTAAAATAATACATTGCGGAAAAATATATATCATGTAGAAGGGAAGCGTTTCCGCCACTATAAAGTATATATATATTCTTGATGTGGTCCACTAGCCGTCAATCTATCCATGTCCGTCGGTCGGTCTGTTTGTCCGTATGATTTATTTTTGTTTTAAATTTAATCTAAACAAGAGAGAACGTTATAGTCGGGTGCCCCGACTATCAGATACCCGTTACTCAGGTAAAGGGAGTGCGAGGGAGATGGAAATAGAGATAGAAAACGTTGATCACGCATAACTTTCTAACGGATGGTCCGATTTGAAAAATTTCTTCTACATTTCGATAGGTATTGATAAACACAATAAAACTGCATTTTTACTTTTCCAAAATATTAAACTTTTTAAAATCGTATATAAGCGATTGTAGGCGTTAGAGGGGGCGTGGCACCATTTTGAAACAAACTTGCGCTGCGTAGGAACTCCTAAAATCTGCATGCAAAATGTCAATCTTCTAGCTTTTATAGTTTCTGAGATCTCAGCGTTCATACAGACAGACAGACGGACAGACGGACAGACGGACAGACAGACGGACAGACGGACAGACGGACAGACGGACATGGCTAGATCGACTCGGCTAGTGATCCTGATCAAGAATATATATACTTTATGGGGTCGGAAACGCTTCTTTCTCCCTGTTACATACTTTTGCACGAATACAATATACCCTTTTACTCTACGAGTAACGGGTATAAAAACTATCGTTCAAGATACCATTTTTTTTACCAAAAATGTACGAATTAAATAATTTGAAATACTTAGTAGCTCACAACTAATGTCGTAGAAGCTCATCATCATCGGAGATATAACCACATGCAGTGGTATCACATCGCCAAGCACCCACACACCCACCTAACCACAATGCTAATGAGTTTGTGGTGAATTGAAACAATGTAAACATCTATAGATGCATCTGTATGCAAAGTGTTACATACGTGCCTACAGCCTATTTATATGTTCAACTGTTGTCAGCTCAAATGCGATAAAATTTATGTAATTTCGAACTAGAAAGAACATTTCGGAGAACGGAAAATTAAATTGAATGGTATTATGAGTTACAATTGTACATATTGAATATCTGAGCAATAGTGGCTTTGCCAGAAATCATGCAAATCGACAACAGCTGCCATTGCTGTTGATATTTTTATTTGAAAAGGGTGAAAAGGCAAGGAGGAATAATAACAAAAACAATAACAAATAACAGTCGCTTTGCCAGGACTCCACTGTCACTTCCCTATTCGTAAAAAGGGGTTTCTCTGTGGGTGGGTGGTGGTAACCGCAACAGCTGTAAAAATACCAATACTGAAAACTTTTTCGAAAGCCAAAAAGCAGAAAAAAAACAAAGGAAATTGTTGGAAAAAATGTGGAAATAAAAATTCCACGACATTAATTTTATTCAAAGTATCCAAGAAGAGCAATGGAATGTGACGAAAATATGGAGGTCTCATTTAAATGCTGCACAAATGTCCAAATTGTGCGAGTCTGAAGGGTTTGAAGGCCATCACACCATTGAACCGAACTTTCAAATAACAAATAAACTTTCTTTCGATCCAAATTCTCTTTTTTAATTTTACACAATGCAGCCGGAAGACAAGGATACAGTAAGTTTCGGATGGTGGAATTAAAGAAAATATTTTGTTACACAGTCTTTAAATACCGCATTTCCTCTCACTTTTCACCTTTTTCTCCAAAATCCCCCGTGGATCCGCGCATAATTATATTGTACTTTAATATAAACATACATTCGAAATAAGATCATAAAAATGTAGTAAACAAATAACTCGTGTTTCTAGATCGCAAACCATTTCTTTTTATTTGGTTTTCAAGTTGAATAGTTTATGACGAAGTGCACTTATGTATGGACCCAAAACACAATACAAAACTGTTGAAGGCCGACATGAATTTCACTTTCGTTTTAGCTGAGTAATTTGAGATGTTTTCTTTTCATTTGTATTGTGTAATTGTGCGAAAAAGAGGCACTTGTAGCTAAAAATATGCATAAAGTTTTTGCATAAGCAGCAACAAAAAACGTTGATCCAAATGGCCTGTCGAAGAATTCTCAAGTGGGCTTTGAACATTTTTTGACATTGGAATTGCGAAATTGCCTGGCATAAATTTAAAACAGCAACATTTAATTTGAATAAAATAATAATTTGGCTTAAATGTATTTTCAGATATTGTATGATGATTCGGGCAGCTGTTAATTGGTTGTTAACTATGTCGACTGCGGGGATATATGTTTGCCAGACTTTTATTGGATATTTCAGCACTTGCTGGCCATAATTCAAGCTGGCTTTTAATTTAATTTTAATGGCCACATGGCAGTGCATGGGATGGCAGGCATTAAGTGCTTGTTAAATGCATTTAGCCCTGAAAAAATTGTTCATGAAACTCATAAAATAATTGGGAAAACAGCATTGCGGACTTTTGTTAACTTGGAACGGCAGAAGCTACCTCGATTCGCATGACAGTCCGCGACACTTTGACCCACTGACAGCGGCTTTTGGCAACTCATTGGCCCCAAAAACAAAAAGCTTCTAAGCATCTCCACTATTTCTGACTCACTGTCAGATTTTTTTGTATTTATACTTTTGCGTCTATTTCAATCGGACTGCGGCAGTTGTGCGGCACTCTGACACAGTTTCAAAGATCAAAAGCCGAAAATTTGCAAAGAAGATATAGGCAAAATTATTTGAGAGAAGCCCAATCAATACCCGGGGACAGCAATAGAAATGGTCTGCTATGTGGCACACATGGTGGATAGAAGCGTTCACAGTTAGCCAAAGACGACGCTCTTTTGTTGACCGATTCGGGGTCAAGCTTGGAAGAGGCGAACCTCAAACGATTAATCAATATAATGGGCCCTCTCTCTGGGTTCCCCCTGTGTTCCCTCGTCTGTAAGCATACAACCGATTCGACTGACCCCCAATCCTACGATACACAACTATTTACATAACTTTTTACGGGCAGAGGCGAACAAAAGTAAAAGTCGCTCACGTGTTGCTCGAGGCCTTGAACCCCAAACGCCGGCCAGGTGAACTTTTCGAAACGACTTGCATCATTAGTCACCCAGCAGCGAAGATTTCCATTTTCATAGACCCACGCCGAAGTGCTCCCCAGTGGCTGGCTGGCTGACCCATTAAACGATTTACCCACAGCTCTGGCGGGGAACCACATCCCGGGACCTCTGTTCGCGGTACGGTGTGTCTGTCCCACTTCTGCCCCATGGCCAAGTATCATTCGAATGGCTTAGCGGTTGGGTTCTCATGCGTGTGCAGATGTCTCGCCTTATGGACTCATACTCGCACTAAGTACTGGGTAATTATTTTTAGAGCCTTGCCAGCTTAGGCCTGACATAAGCTGATAATGTTGATTAAATGCTGGGAGAGCGGAAAATTGGGAAAGGCTTTTCAACTCAGTAATCAAGACCAAGCGATCTCTTAACGAATTAAAAACAGCTTTCTCATGGTTCCATTTCCACTGCTTCCACACGAATAATAATTCTTAATATCTATCAACACGCCCCCGATTCGACTACATAAATTCAACAGTTTTTGCAATCAATTAGGCCGTTTTTGCATTTTTTGCTTCTGTATTTTCCCGTGTAGTATATTTTTTATGGGCCAAAAGTAGCTTTTGAGAATTTGTTCACATTTATGCTCGCCATCGCGGCACGGTGGGCTGAATATTCCGCCCTGACCACTTCGTAGCGTTGAAAAAATTATTACGCATACGCTCCGTTGGCCAAAGGCCTGTAAATATATGCACGTGTGTGTGTGTCTGTGTGCTCGCGTGTGTGAGTGTTTATTTATAAAAATATGCATAATTGTCGCGTGCGGGTTTAAATATGGTCGAGAGCGAGAAGGAAAGAAAGCAGGGGCGGGAAAAAATACGAGAATTACTACGGCAACAAATATTTAAATAAAATCAAAATAAGGAAAAAGAGAGCACTGAAATTTATTCTGCTCTCAGGGCTAAATTAAAATTGCCGGTTTCTACAAACTCCTAGCGAAAAGTTGAAGAGTTTTATGAACAAAATTATGGAGACAAGGCAAGAGCATAGAAGCGGAAAAGGCAGTTATTAAATATTCAACAAGACTCTGCTCGTAATTTGATTATATTTATAATTTAAATCCCAGTAAAATCCCTGAAATAGCTAAAAGAATCCCTACAACAGCACACTAAGCCACATAAATCCCGCAATCCTCGACGTTAATACCACAAACACGACCGAAAAATATAGTGGACTATATAGAGCAACGGCCACAAAAGCGGAAGCAACAAGAAGCAAAACGAAAATAAC